AATCAGTATTAAACGGCTACTATTATTCAACAGATCAGTGTATCAAACGGCTACTAGTATTCAACAGATCAGTGTATCAAACGGCTACTATTATTCAACAGATCAGTGTATCAAACGGCTACTATTATTCAACACATCAGTGTATCAAACGGCTACTATTATTCAACACATCAGTGTATCAAATGGCAACTATTATTCAACAGATCAATGTATCAAACGACTACTATTATTCAACAAATCAGTGTATCAAAGGGCTACTATTATTCAACAGATCAGTGTATCAAACGGCTACTATTACTCAAAAGATCAGTGTATCAAACGGCTACTATTATTAAACAAATCAGTGTATCAAATGGCTACTATTTTTTACCCAAACAGCTTACTTGTGTGCATCGCTAACTTGGAGGAACTGAGGATGACGTCACCAGGCAGTAATGCTTGCCACCGGCACAGCTAGCGTCTGCTGCTAGAGTTTTGTGGAGATCCCGAGTTCCAGCCCAACGGTCGAGGTGAGCACTTACTGGCTTGCAATTAAAAGACAGAGTCTTCACCCCTGGAGCCCAGTATCGTGTCTGCCAGTTCTGTCTGCTGCACCAACCGCAACTGTCATATATGTTTTCCGGCCGGAATCTTTGTCTGCGGTCCCGCAAGACACTGTCACGGGTGTATCGCAGATACATACCTTAGCACAACAAATGGGCATAACGAGATCCATGTCGTACAGAAAAAACTAATCAAGAAAATCATTTACGCTGTCGAGTGTTCCCTCAGACTTGCTGTAGAGAGATTCGTTTGGTCCCATATTGGTCGCGTGTGACACACGCGCATCGATGGCCTGGAGTCGCTCGCGCCGCTGTTGTGTGATCTAACCTTCGAGCGGGGCTGATGTATCCGGTGAATGTTCGCTTCTTGGTGTACCAGCGCGACGACCAGCAGAACTGCTCACGGCAGGAAAGGAGGAGCTTTTCAATAGGCATCTATTGGTTCTCATTTTCAAGTGAGCTCCACTCTACTTGGAAGGGGGAGGGGTTATTATAAGTAAACAATTCCGAACACTTCCGTGTTCATTTAACACTAACTCTAAACACTAGAACTGTTATATTCTACGAGTGTCGTCTGCTTTGGGCGTTTTCATCATTTGTTGCGTCATCAATTCCACTGTCCGTTCGTCCCATCACTGTGCCCTGTTCGAAAGACGTGCTCCTGCTTCGTGACTTGGCCTTCGTTGTCAATTTCCTTGGTCTCTCAGCATTCCTGCATCTAACTATAATCCTGGGTCTATGTTGTTGTGGCCAACTTTGCGCCGACAGCCTATACATCCCAATACATTTCCCACTACCAATTTCAGACTGAGGCAACCCGACACCTCAGCTTAGTGTGGACACAGAAGAGCATCTCTCATACAGACTGGAACACAAGACCTTCATTCCAACAGCAGCTAGCCATTCGGCAACGGTGGCCATTTTTTGAAAATTAATTCTATAATATATTTCACTAGCATCGTGAAATAATCATCATCTAAATAAAAGTAACACAAACGACCCTTTTCCCCGCCTTCCGTCGTGATAGGCATATAGGGCAAGACCTATAATCATAGACCAATAGGCATATAGGGCAAGACCTATAATCATAGACCAATAGGCATATAGGGCAAGACCTATAATCATAGACCAATAGGCATTCTGTGGGTGATGGCGTCAATATTACGCCGGGGGATTTGAATTCCCAGGAATGACTGGTAACTTTTCAAGGCCGGGTCATCCTAGGAGCCAAGGTCATCTCTGAGAGGGAAAACAAGCCCCAGGGCTGCCAGGACCCGAACCCTCGACCTTGCGATTCGCAGGCGAGCGTCCAGCCGCTACACAAAACAGGCATCTGCTTTCATCATCTTAATCAGTTCTCAGAATAGTTGTAGATTCTCAATGACTCTGTCGCCCATAAGAGGCAGCAGTTATTTCATTTCATCAGCATTGTTGTCATTTTCATGAAACGATCAAAATCATCAGATCGAGCGAAGCCAGAAATGACCTGACAGCGCTGAACGTGATAGCAGCAGCGACCTCGACTGACATCTACTTGTCCTTCTCTATCAAGGCCGTCAGCAACTACTGTCTTACCTCCTCCGTTAGCAAGACCTAGCCCAAAGACTGAAACATAAGCCTTCCTAGCGCCGCCATCGCACATAGAGGTACAAGACCGCTCGAGACATTGCTCTCCATCATTTTCAGTCATGCCACGTGGTGTTGTCACGTGACGGTCTCAAGCCTGTAAAATCTTAAAGGTTAAGAAACCAGGAATGACTGCAGTCATCAGGAAACATCCGGAACCAAAGCCGAGACGTCATCCATCAAGCCATGGAGTGTCACGTCAGATGTTGGTAATACAAAGATATCTGTGACTCACAAGCCACGAGAGTGTCAAGTCAGATGTTGGTAATACAAACATATCTGTGACTTACAAGTCAGACAGTGTCAGGTCAGATGTTGGTAATACAAACATATCTGTGACTCAAAGCAACTAAAGTGTAATGTCTGGTGTTTGAAATACATACATATCTGTGACTTACAAGCCACGAGAGTGTCATGGCGGGTGTTTATTATAGAAACATATCTGTGACTTACAAGCTTCATTCACCAGGTCAGAGGTACACCTGCGTCTTTGTCTCACAGAATACATTGATCAGACCCGGGGCCAGTCAGGTCCAATGTAGGTCGTATTTTGCCAAGTGAACAAAGAAGAAAATTTTTGCAGATAGGAGACAAGCAGATGGCCAGCGAAGAAGTCTGAGAAATACCCTATCAATAATGGTCCGAAAACCCCAAAATATAAAACTTTTACGCGAGCGGGCCTTGCCTGTCACACCCGCCATCACCACGAGCTGTGATCACCTAGACATTAGTATAGAAACTATCGTCTCCCAATACAATAATGTAAAAACTATCGCCTTCCGTAGAACAATATAAATCTTTCGTCTCCCAGTACAATAAAATAAAACAACTGATGACGAAGTAAATGCAAGGATCTCTAGGGCTAGAGTTGCCTTTGGTAGATTGTACAAAAATGTTTGGAACAGAAGTGGCATAACCCTGCCGACAAAGCTTAAAGTATACAGAGCTGTTGTATTAATTACACTCCTGTACGAATACCAGCGCCAGGGTAGAAAGTTAAACCACTTAGACACAGTCTGCCTTAGAAAACTAATGCAGATCAGATAGCAAGACAAAGTACCTGATACTGTAGTCCTTGAGAAAGCAGCCATGCCCAGCATTCACACTCTACTGATGTAGTATCAAATTCGTTGGGCTGGTCATGTGGCACGCATGCCAGATCACATGCTCCCCAAAAAACTCTTCTATGGTGAGCTGCAAAATGAGAAACGTTCCCAAGGCGGGCAAAAGAAACGCTTTAAGGACACCTTGAAGTCTTCATTGAAAGCATTTGGGACGAATGACACCAGTTCGGACGCTGCCTGTCAAGACCGAAATGCATGGCGTGCAGCTCTACACAAGGGCGCGGCTACATGTGAAGCAAAAAGAACAGCTAGACTTATTAGGAAAAGGATGGACAGAAAGGCGACTGCATGTGATCACCTCCCTGCCAAAATGCTCATTCAACTTTTCGGGCCCGCATCAACCTCATCAGTCATCTTTGTTCTCATACTTGATGAAAAAGAGTGGTCATCATTATCATCTTGATGGACAACACACACAAAACTATCATCTGAAAAGATGTCAACAATAAAGTAAGTACTTGTGACGTCACTACGATACAAGATCATCTTACACAACGATATATTTGCCGTCAACTATACTCAGGTGACAACAAAATAGTTCCCAGAACTAAGCTATTCAACTAATTCTACCATTGGGCCTAACTGTTGAAAATAGGGATCTGCATATGCCAGATGACTGGATTACATAGAAAGATCCATAACACAATAGTTATAATGTCTCCTATCGGGGCCTCGAAGGCAGCCTAGACATGCTTCACTCCTATGTCACGCAATCGTTATAGTCTCAGAGATTCGTCATAATGCACTAGCTCCGTTCATAAAGCGTTGACGATATCTGCTCTGCCTATGCTTATTCCTACATGCCTTGGTGTATTTCTGGCCAGTTTGTCCGCTCACCCATTGCCCTTTACGCAAATCAAGACCATGTGCGTAGATCCAGGTGAGGGAGGTTAAGTGCAGTTTTAGAATGTTTTCTACTCATTCAGAGTGCGTACCGCCTGTTGTTATTTGCTGAAACATGCACATGGAGTCTGATACAGTTGCTGCAGGTGTTGCTGTTTGTCTGCTGCCAATGCTATTGCTGTAGATCCAGCGGCTGTTGAAAATATCACAGGTGATAGAAACATCTTCTAATCATTGTCTCATCGCCATCTCCAGACGTGCTGTCACAAGGCCGGTGGCATAAGTGATGTGGCCAAATGGCACATTAAAATCCCAACCAATGAAGGCGGCCGCTACTGAAAATATCACATTAGATCTAGAAAGCCGCCAATATCGATCATTTCTCTATCCCCGTCTGTGATATCAATAACGCCGCCCACTCTTACATCATTGACCTAAGATGTGGTCACATCAAAGCCACATACAACAACAGCGGCCGCTCCTGAAAATATCATATCGTATCAATAAAGCCGCAATCGCATTCAAATCTGTATCGCCAGCCGGGATATCCGAACCGCCGGCTGTGCTTACATCACTGAAGTGAGCTGTGGTCACATGAAAGACACATCTAACGACGGCGGCAGCTCTTGAAATATCGCAGCTGATAGATAAAGCCGCTAATGATTGTTGTTTGTACGTCATCAGACACAGCCCGAAGCGTCTATTGTCCCGCCCACTATATATACAAGAGAACGACCAGCTTCTGTCTCATTTCATTGGGACATTTTCCAAAGTGCGTATCTTGGACGTTGGAATATATTCTCAGATTCGAATTGTTCAGTTTGGATTATTTCTTACTTTGAGTATACTGTGCTTATTTTCGCAAATGGCGGCTTCTAGCACGAATCATGGTAATGTAGATCTTTATGAGGATTTCTTTACCACATACAAGTTTTCACGTGGGCCAGTCCTAGGCTGTGGCATGAGTGGAGATGTAGTTCTCGCCACTTCACTGACCGACCCCTCAGTACGGACAGCCGTGAAGATTCTCTCATTGCTGACTGCTGATGGAGGGGTTAGAAACATGAAACTGTTCTGTCAAGAGACCGCAGTTTTACAACGACTGTCTCACCCACACATCATCAAACTGGCTACATCGGCGATTTTTCCTGGATACGTGGTCATCTGTACCGAGTACTGCACCAATGGGACCTTGACCTCCAGGCTGGACACCCTGCCCTTGGCCTTGTGTGAGAAATACTTTCTCCAGGTGGCGTGTGCTGTAAGATATCTCAACGATCGCCAGAGAATTGTGCACAACGATATCAAGCCGGACAACATTTTTATCGACGCCAGGAACGATGTGGTTCTGGGAGATTTCGGATTATCACTGTCTTTTCCTCCGGGCATCATGATTCCTACAAAAGGTATGGGAGGCTCCCGGCGTTACAACGCTCCAGAAAAGGTCTACCGTACAATGGTGGACGCTTCAAAACTGGACATGTACTCGCTGGGTGTGCTTCTCTGGTGCATGCTGTTGAAGAGAGAAGCCCCCTGCGACCGGCTCTACCGGTGTCTGGAGGACTCTCACCTGATGTCTGGCATCCCTGAACCCATGTGCTGGTGCCTAGTGTCCACATTACAGCTGGATCCAGACAAGAGACATTCTGCGGCGACTTTGTTGAAAATTTTACACGGCATAGGTTTCTACTGTAACATCATTGACACTCTGTAAGTATACATTTTTATAGCCTCATTGTCTGTCGGTAAGTATCCGTTTCTCTACTGTAGCCTCAAGACAGTCTGTAAGTATACATTTCTGTAGCTTCATTGTCAGTCGGTAAGTATCTGTTTCTCTACTGTAGCCTCAAGACAGTTTGTAAGTATACATTTCTGTAGCTTTATTGTCAGTCGGTAGGTATCTGTTTCTTTACTGTAGCCTCAAGACAGTCTGTAAGTATACATTTCTGTAGCTTTATTGTCAGTCGGTAAGTATCAGTTTCACTACTGTAGCTTCAAGACAGTCTGTAAGTATACATTTCTGTAGCTTTATTGTCAGTCGGTAAGTATCCCCGTTTCTCTACTGTAGCCTCAATGACAGTCTGTAAGTAGACATTTTTGTAGCTTTCATTGTCAGTCGGTAAGCATCCGTTTATCTACTGTAGTCTCAAGACAGTCTGTAAGTATACATTTCTTTAGCCTCATTGTCAGTCGGTAAGTATCCGTTTCTCTACTGTAGCCTCAATGACAGTCTGTAAGTATACATTTCAGTAGCTTTAATGTCAGTCGGTAAGTGTCTGTTTCTCTACTGCAGCCTCAAGACAGTCTGAAAGTATACATTTCTGTAGCTTCATTGTCAGTCGGTAAGTATCCCCGTTTCTCTACTGTAGCCTCAATGACAGTCTGTAAGTAGACATTCTGTAGTATTGTCAGTCAGTATCAGTTTTTTACTGTAGCCTCATTGTCAGTCGGTAAGTAAGTATGACAGTCTTAAGTATACTTCACTGTCAGTCGGTAAGTATCAGTTTCACTACTGTAGCTTCAAGACAGTCTGTAAGTATATATTTCTGGACTATATCCTTGTTGCCGGTTTTTAGGTATCCGTCTATTGCATGTTAACGTTATATTTGCAGGTCTGTAGAAAGTTGAAAATGTAGACATCACAAACCACACGTTTATTTATAAACTGGGCAACTTTTGTTTTTTTGTAAAGTGATGATCTTTAGACATAAAACAGTTTATGAAACGGTCTTATTTACACATAACATAACAACGCTAGAAAAATAAAATTTCATGCATATTTTAAAAAAAAAAATATACTAGGCAATCGGAGTAATCCATTATATGAAATGTATTTTTAAAATTAGAAATTAACTTTTGCGTTTCAGAAAGTCTGCATTCTAACAAAAAAAAAAAAAAATTGTAATTTTTTTTTCCTGAAATTTCGGAATGTTTAACCGGTTAAGTTAACCAGACTGGTTTACGTAACGATGCAATGACGATCTCCACACAGGAATATACAAACTGCTGCTAGACTGTCGTCCTAAACCTATCTGCATATACTGTTTTATCTTTAAAAGCTTTACTAATCAGCCACTAACTGTTTCAGCTAACATATTTGGTTATAATGACATCTTTAAAAAATGTTTACTAATCAACCACCAACAGTTCAGCTAATATATTTGGTATTAATGCTAACAGTTTTAGCTAACATATTTGGTGATACTGACATCTTTCAATAATGTTTACCAATCGACCACAAACAGTTTCGGCTAACATTTTTGGTGATACTGATATCTTTAACAAATATTTACCAATCAACATCTAACAGTTTCAGCTAACATATTTCTTGATACTGACATCTTTAAAAATGTTTACCACCTAACACTAACAGTTTCAGTTAGAATATTTTGTGATACTGGCATCTTTAACAAATGTCTACTAACTAATCAAATGTCAACCAACATAACTACTCAAGCCAACAAATCCACTGTTAAAACAAGTAGTCGAGCTGGTATAAATGAATTCACTGAAGACAAACTAGGACTTTCAGTTTCAACCAGCGGGAAAAAGGAAAAGAAAAAACAACACACGCAGGAACACTCGAAAGTTTCGCCGAAGTCTTTGTCAACAAGTAGCAAAAGAAGAAGATGAAAAATCCTAGACCAGCCCAACACGTTGGAGTTAGACATGACTTCCCTACGTTGGGTCTGGTGAAAAACGTGTATTGTTTTCTTCTTTTCCCTTTTCCGCTGGTTAGTTTGTCTTTAGATTGAGAACCATTGCTGGCGCTCCATCTTTTTAATCAGGCCACGTGATCTTTTCACGTGACGGTCCCAAGCCCGTGAAAACCAACACGTTTTCATCAGATACGTGAAACTTCTTTCATGTGACATCTGTGTCTTACAGACTTCTTTCATCAGATCTGGGACAAACTACATCTGTGTCTTACAGACTTCATTCAGTCTCTGTCTCACTGACTTCATTCATCAGATCTGGGATACAACTATATCTGTGTCTCACAGACTTCATTCATCAGATCTTGGAAATAACTACATCTGTGCCTTACAGACTTCATTCATCAGATCTGGGATACAACTACATCTGTGCCTTACAGACTTCATTCATCAGATCTGGGATATAACTACATCTGTGTGTCACAGACTTCATTCATCAGATCTTGTCTACTAACTAATCAAATGTCAACCAACATAACTACTCAAGCCAACAAATCCACTGTTAAAACAAGTAGTCGAGCTGGTATAAATGAATTCACTTAAGACAAACTAGGACTTTCAGTTTCAACCAGCGGGAAAAAGGAAAAGAAAACAACACACGCAGGAACACTCGAAAGTTTCGCCGAAGTCTTTGTCAACAAGTAGCAAAAGAAGAAGATGAAAAATCCTAGACCAGCCCAACACGTTGGAGTTACGTGAAAATTCACGTGACATGACTTCCCTACGTTGGGTCTGGTGTCCAGGAATTCTCATCTTCTTATGTTGCCATTCGTTGACAAAGACTTCGGTAGAAACTTTGGAGTGTTTCCTACGTGTATTGTTTTCTTTTCCCTTTTCCCGCTAGTTGAAACCGAAAGTCCTAGTTTGTCTTCAGTGAACTCATTGAGAACCATTGCTGGCGCTCCATCTTTTTAATCAGGCCACGTGATCTTTTCACGTGACGGTCCCAAGCCCGTGAAAACTGAGAGGGAAGAGGTGAAAATAATTTTCTCTCACAGACTTCATTCATCAGATCTGGGATATAACTACATCTGTGTCTCACAGACTTCTTTCATCAGATCTGGGATACAACTACATCTGTGCCTTACAGACTTCATTCATCAGATCTGGGATACAACTATATCTGTGTCTCACAGACTTCATTCATCAGATCTGGGATATAACTACATCTGTGTCTCACAGACTTCATTCATCAGATCTGGGATATAACTACATCTGTGCCTTACAGACTTCATTCATCAGATCTGGGATATAACTACATCTGTGTCTCACAGACTTCATTTATCATATCTTGGATATAACTACATCTGTGCCTTACAGACTTCATTCATCAGATCTTGGATATAACTACATCTGTGTCTCACAGACTTCATTCATCAGATCTTGGATATAACTACATCTGTGCCTTACAGACTTCATTCATCAGATCTGGGATACAACTATATCTGTGTCTCACAGACTTCTTTCATCAGATCTTGGATATAACTACATCTGTGCCTTACAGACTTCATTCATCAGATCTGGGATATAACTACATCTGTGCCTTACAGACTTCATTCATCAGATCTTGGATATAACTACATCTGTGCCTTACAGACTTCATTCATCAGATCTTGGATATAACTACATCTGTGCCTTACAGACTTCATTCATCAGATCTGGGATACAACTATATCTGTGTCTCACAGACTTCATTCATCAGATCTGGGATATAACTACATCTGTGCCTTACAGACTTCATTCATCAGATCTGGGATACAACTATATCTGTGTCTCACAGACTTCATTCATCAGATCTGGGATACAACTATATCTGTGTCTCACAGACTTCATTCATCAGATCTGGAGTACAACTACATCAGTGTCTCACAGACTTCATTCAGCAGATCTGGGTTACAGCAACATCTGTGTCTCAAAGACTTCATTCACAAGTCCAGTGGTACAATTAAACCTTTGTCTCACAGACTTCATTAACCCGATCCGGGGTACATTTACATCTGTGTCTCACAGACTTCGTTCAAAAGTCCAGAGGTACAATTACATCTGTGTCTCACAGACTTCATTCACAAGATCTCGAGTACATCCACATCTGTGCCTCACAGGCTTCATTCACCAGATCAGGGGTACAATTACACCTGTGTCTCACAGACTTTATTCACCAGATCTGGGGTATAGCCAAATCTGTCTCTCACAGACTTAATTCACCAGTTCTTTGGTAAAACTATCGACTCCAAATACAAAAAAAAAAAAAAAAAACTTTTGTCTGGAAACAAGGAATGGTATAAATAATAAAATAAGTACTTGAGACTTCACTACAATGCAAGATCATTTTACAGAATGATATCTTTGCCGTCTGCTTTATTGGTAGGCCACTTACTAGACCACCTGGGGCCAGATCCGGACAGCGGCCCACCAATTGAACAGCCCTGTGCGTATGTAGATTCTGGCACAAGAAAGTAAGACCTGACGACGTCGGATGCTGCTGCCACTGAAAACTATCACTGACAGATGTCGCCGCCAATCACTGTCCTATCTTGATTTTCAGGTGTGATATCAGTAACGACGCCGGCGATTACTTCAGTGACATGAACCACTGACAGATGTCACCGCCCAGCACTGTCCTATTTTGATTGTCAGATGTGATATCAGTAACGTCGCCGGCGATTACTTCAGTGACATGAACCACTGACACATGACAATCACCTCTAACGACGACGACCGATTATGACAATGATATTTTATGGCATCACAATGGACGCCACTGCACACTGGGCATTTCCAAACCTGCTCAGTCCTCCGACGTAGCAGCCACTCAAAAGTACTTCTACTAGTTGTTCCCGTGAGGGGTTCGTTATATCTCGGCCTCGAAGGCGGCCTTATCACGCAATCGTGTTAGTGTCGGAGATTCGTCATTATCCACTAGCCCAGTCCATACAGCGTTGATGATATCTGCCATGTCCATGCTTGTTCCCACATGCGTTGGTGAATTGCTTGCCAGTTGTCTGCTCGATCATTACCCTTTACGCCATCATAACCAGGTGGGTAGATCCAGGTGAGGGAGGTTAAGTGTAATTTTCGAATGCTTTCTACTCATTCAGAGTGCATACCGCCTGTTGTTATTTGCTGGAGCATGTCCATGGACTCTGATACAGTTGCTGCAGGTGTTGCTGTTTGTCTACTGCCCATGCTATTGCTCTAGAATCAGCGGCTGTTGAAAATATCACAGGTGATAGAAAAAGCTGCCAATCACTGTCCCATCGCCATCTCCAGACGTGCTGTCACAATGCCGGTGGCATAAGTGATGTGGCCAAATGGCACATTAAAGTCCCAACTAATGAAGGCGGCCGCTACTGAAAATATCGCTCTAGATCTTAAAAGCCGCCAATATCTATCATTTCTCTATCCCCGTCTGTGATATCAATAAAGCCGCCCACTCTTACATCATTGACGTCAGATGTGGTCACATCAAAGCCACATACAACAACAGCGGCCGCTCCTGAAAATATCCCATCGTATCAATAAAGCCGCAGTCGCATTCAAATCTTTATCGCCAGCTGGGATATCCGAACCGCCGGCTGTGCTTACATCACTGAAGTGAGCTGTGGTCACATGAAAGACACATCTAACGACGGCGGCCGCTCTTGAAATATCGCAGCTGATAGATAAAGCCGCTAATGATTGTTATTTCTACGTCATCAGACACAGCCCGAAGCGTCTATTGTCCCGCCCACTATATATACAAGAGAACGACCAGCTTCTGTCTCATTTCATTGGGACATTTTCCAAAGTGCGTATCTTGGACGTTGGAATATATTCTCAGATTCGAATTGTTCAGTTTGGATTATTTCTTACTTTGAGTATACTGTGCTTATTTTGGCAAATGGCGGCTTCTAGCACGAATCATGGTAATGTAGATCTTTATGAGGATTTCTTTACCACATACAAGTTTTCACGTGGGCCAGTCCTAGGCTGTGGCATGAGTGGAGATGTAGTTCTCGCCACTTCACTGACCGACCCCTCAGTACGGACAGCCGTGAAGATTCTCTCATTGCTGACTGCTGATGGAGGGGTTAGAAACATGAAACTGTTCTGTCAAGAGACCGCAGTTTTACAACGACTGTCTCACCCACACATCATCAAACTGGCTACATCGGCGATTTTTCCTGGATACGTGGTCATCTGTACCGAGTACTGCACCAATGGGACCTTGACCTCCAGGCTGGACACCCTGCCCTTGGCCTTGTGTGAGAAATACTTTCTCCAGGTGGCGTGTGCTGTAAGATATCTCAACGATCGCCAGAGAATTGTGCACAACGATATCAAGCCGGACAACATTTTTATCGACGCCAGGAACGATGTGGTTCTGGGAGATTTCGGATTATCACTGTCTTTTCCTCCGGGCATCATGATTCCTACAAAAGGTATGGGAGGCTCCCGGCGTTACAACGCTCCAGAAAAGGTCTACCGTACAATGGTGGACGCTTCAAAACTGGACATGTACTCGCTGGGTGTGCTTCTCTGGTGCATGCTGTTGAAGAGAGAAGCCCCCTGCGACCGGCTCTACCGGTGTCTGGAGGACTCTCACCTGATGTCTGGCATCCCTGAACCCATGTGCTGGTGCCTAGTGTCCACATTACAGCTGGATCCAGACAGGAGACATTCTGCGGCGACTTTGTTGAAAATTTTACACGGCATAGGTTTCTACTGTAACATCATTGACACTCTGTAAGTATACATTTTTATAGCCTCATTGTCTGTCGGTAAGTATCCGTTTCTCTACTGTAGCCTCAAGACAGTCTGTAAGTATACATTTCTGTAGCTTCATTGTCAGTCGGTAAGTATCTGTTTCTCTACTGTAGCCTCAAGACAGTTTGTAAGTATACATTTCTGTAGCTTTATTGTCAGTCGGTAGGTATCTGTTTCTTTACTGTAGCCTCAAGACAGTCTGTAAGTATACATTTCTGTAGCTTTATTGTCAGTCGGTAAGTATCAGTTTCACTACTGTAGCTTCAAGACAGTCTGTAAGTATACATTTCTGTAGCTTTATTGTCAGTCGGTAAGTATCTGTTTCTCTACTGTAGCCTCAATGACAGTCTGTAAGTATACATTTCTGTAGCTTTATTGTCAGTCGGTAAGTAATCCTCGTTTATCTACTGTAGTCCTCAAGACAGTCTGTAAGTCAAGACAGTCTGTACATTTCTTGTAGCTTCATTGTCAGTCGGTAAGTATCCGTTTCTCTACTGTAGCCTCAATGACAGTCTGTAAGTATACATTTTGTAGCTTTCATTGTCAGTCGGTAAGTATCCGTTTCTCTACTGTAGCCTCAAGACAGTCTGTAAGTATACATTTCTGTAGCTTCATTGTCAGTCGGTAAGTATCCGTTTCTCTACTGTAGCCTCAATGACAGTCTGTAAGTATACATTTCAGTAGCTTTAATGTCAGTCGGTAAGTGTCTGTTTCTCTACTGCAGCCTCAAGACAGTCTGAAAGTATACATTTCTGTAGCTTCATTGTCAGTCGGTAAGTATCCCCGTTTCTCTACTGTAGCCTCAATGACAGTCTGTAAGTAGACATTTTTGTAGCTTCATTGTCAGTCGGTAAGTATCAGTTTCACTACTGTAGCTTCAAGACAGTCTGTAAGTATATATTTCTGGACTATATCCTTGTTGCCGGTTTTTAGGTATCCGTCTATTGCATGTTAACGTTATATTTGCAGGTCTGTAGAAAGTTGAAAATGTAGACATCACAAACCACACGTTTATTTATAAACTGGGCAACTTTTGTTTTTTGTAAAGTGATGATCTTTAGACATAAAACAGTTTATGAAACGGTCTTATTTACACATAACATAACAACGCTAGAAAAATAAAATTTCATGCATATTTAAAAAAAAAAAAAAAAAATATACTAGGCAATCGGAGTAATCCATTATATGAAATGTATTTTTAAAATTAGAAATTAACTTTTGCGTTTCAGAAAGTCTGCATTCTAACAAAAAAAAAAAAAAAAAAAAAAAAAAATTGTAATTTTTTTTTCTGAAATTTCGGAATGTTTAACCGGTTAAGTTAACCAGACTGGTTTACGTAACGATGCAATGACGATCTCCACACAGGAATATACAAACTGCTGCTAGACTGTCGTCCTAAACCTATCTGCATATACTGTTTTATCTTTAAAAGCTTTACTAATCAGCCACTAACTGTTTCAGCTAACATATTTGGTTATAATGACATCTTTAAAAAATGTTTACTAATCAACCACCAACAGTTCAGCTAATATATTTGGTATTAATGCTAACAGTTTTAGCTAACATATTTGGTGATACTGACATCTTTCAATAATGTTTACCAATCGACCACAAACAGTTTCGGCTAACATTTTTGGTGATACTGATATCTTTAACAAATATTTACCAATCAACATCTAACAGTTTCAGCTAACATATTTCTTGATACTGACATCTTTAAAAATGTTTACCACCTAACACTAACAGTTTCAGTTAGAATATTTTGTGATACTGGCATCTTTAACAAATGTCTACTAACTAATCAAATGTCAACCAACATAACTACTCAAGCCAACAAATCCACTGTTAAAACAAGTAGTCGAGCTGGTATAAATGAATTCACTGAAGACAAACTAGGACTTTCAGTTTCAACCAGCGGGAAAAAGGAAAAGAAAACAACACACGCAGGAACACTCGAAAGTTTCGCCGAAGTCTTTGTCAACAAGTAGCAAAAGAAGAAGATGAAAAATCCTAGACCAGCCCAACACGTTGGAGTTACGTGAAAATTCATGTGACATGACTTCCCTACGTTGGGTCTGGTGTCCAGGAATTCTCATCTTCTTATGTTGCCATTCGTTGACAAAGACTTCGGTAGAAACTTTGGAGTGTTTCCTACGTGTATTGTTTTCTTTTCCCTTTTCCCGCTAGTTGAAACCGAAAGTCCTAGTTTGTCTTCAGTGAACTCATTGAGAACCATTGCTGGCGCTCCATCTTTTTAATCAGGCCACGTGATCTTTTCACGTGACGGTCCCAAGCCCGTGAAAACTGAGAGGGAAGAGGTGAAAATAATTTTCTCTCACAGACTTCATTCATCAGATCTGGGATATAACTACATCTGTGTCTCACAGACTTCTTTCATCAGATCTGGGATATAACTACATCTGTGTCTTACAGACTTCATTCATCAGATCTGGGATACAACTACATCTGTGTCTCACAGACTTCATTCATCAGATCTGGGATATAACTACATCTGTGTCTCACAGACTTCATTCATCAGATCTGGGATATAACTACATCTGTGCCTTACAGACTTCATTCATCAGATCTGGGATATAACTATATCTGTGCCTTACAGACTTCATTCATCAGATCTTGGATATAACTACATCTGTGTCTCACAGACTTCATTCATCAGATCTTGGATATAACTACATCTGTGCCTTACAGACTTCATTCATCAGATCTTGGACTTCATTCATCAGATCTTGGATATAACTACATCTGTGCCTTACAGACTTCATTCATCAGATCTGGGATATAACTACATCTGTGTCTCACAGACTTCATTCATCAGATCTTGGATATAACTACATCTGTGCCTTACAGACTTCATTCATCAGATCTGGGATACAACTATATCTGTGTCTCACAGACTTCATTCATCAGATCTGGGATATAACTACATCTGTGCCTTACAGACTTCATTCATCAGATCTGGGATACAACTATATCTGTCACAGACTTCATTATCTGATCTTTTACATCTGTGCCTTACAGACTTCTTTCATCAGAACTTTTACATCTGTGCCTTACAGACTTCATTCATCAGATCTTTTACATCTGTGCCTTACAGACTTCATTCATCAGATCTGGGATACAACTATGTATCTCACAGACTTCATTCTTCATGATCTTTTACATCTGTGCCTTACAGACTTCATTCAGCAGATCTGGGATACAACTATATCTGTATCTCACAGACTTCATTCATCTGATCTTTTACATCTGTGCCTTACAGACTTCTTTCATCAGATCTTTTACATCTGTGCCTTACAGACTTCATTCATGAGATCTTTTACATCTGTGCCTTACAGACTTCATTCATCAGATCTGGGATACAACTATGTATCTCACAGACTTCATTCTTCATGATCTTTTACATCTGTGCCTTACAGACTTCTTTTAGCAGATCTGGGATATAACTACATCTGTGTCTCACAGACTTCATTCATCAGATCTGGGGTACAACTACATCTCTGTCTCACAGACTTCATTCATCAGATCTGGGATATAACTACATCTGTGCCTTACAGACTTCATTCATCAGATCTGGGATACAACTACATCTGTGTCTTACAGACTTCATTCATCAGATCTGGGATACAACTACATCTGTGCCTTACAGACTTCATTCATCAGATCTGGGACACAACTACATCTGTGCCTTACAGACTTCATTCATCAGATCTGGGGTACAACTACATCTGTGCCTTACAGACTTCATTAATCTGATTTGGGGTACAACTACATCTGTGCCTTACAGACTTCATTCATCTGATTTGAGGTACAACTACATCTGTGCCTTACAGACTTCATTCAGAAGATCTGGGGTACAACTACATTTGTGTCTCACAGACTTCATTCATCAAATCTGGGGTGCAACTGCATCTGTGCCTTACAGATTTCATTCATCTGATTTGGGGTACAACTACATCTGTGCCTTACAGACTTCATTCAGAAGATCTGGGGTACAACTACATTTGTGTCTCACAGACTTCATTCTTCAAATCTGGGGTGCAACTGCATCTGTGCCTTACAGACTTCATTCATCTGATTTGGGGTACAACTACATCTGTGCCTTACAGACTTCATTCAGAAGATCTGGTGTACAACTAGATTTGTGTCTCACAGACTTCATTCAGCAGATCTGCAGTACAAAAACATCTCACAGACTTCATTCACAAGTCCAGGGGTACAATAACACCTCTGTCTCACAGACTTCATTAACCCGATTAGGGTAACATTTACATCTGTGTCTCTCAGACTTCATTCACCAGATCTGGGGTACAGCCACATCTGTGTCTCACAGACTTCATTCACAACTCCAGAGGTAAATTACACATCTGTCTCACACACTTCATTAGCCCGATACAGGGTACAGCCACATCTGTGTCTCACACACTTCATTCAAAAGTCCAGAGGTACAATTACACCTGTGTATCACAGACTTCATTCACAAGATCTCGAGTACATCCACATCTGTGTCTCACAAGCTTCATTTACCAGATCTGGGATACAGCCACATCTGTGTTTCACAAGTAAGTCGGTAAGTATCCGTTTCTCTACTGTAGCCTCAAGACAGTCTGTAAGTATACATTTCTGTAGCTTCATTGTCAGTCGGTAAGTATCTGTTTCTCTACTGTAGCCTCAAGACAGTTTGTAAGTATACATTTCTGTAGCTTTATTGTCAGTCGGTAGGTATCTGTTTCTTTACTGTAGCCTCAAGACAGTCTGTAAGTATACATTTCTGTAGCTTTATTGTCAGTCGGTAAGTATCAGTTTCACTACTGTAGCTTCAAGACAGTCTGTAAGTATACATTTCTGTAGCTTCATTGTCAGTCGGTAAGTATCTGTTTCACTACTGTAGCCTCAAGACAGTCTGTAAGTATATATTTCTGGACTACATTCTTGTTGACGGTTTTTAAGTATCCGCCTATTACA